CATCAACCTCCCACAGCCATTAGCACTTCCATTACCACAGATGCATGGTGAGAGTTAAATCGGTATAGCGCAGCAAACATATTTTGCAGGTGGGCTCACGCAACTTCTGAAAGCACCAAACGCTTTAAGCGCAAAGTTCCGGCAGGTTGCCATGTGAGTCGAATTTTCAGTGCGCTGGCTTTTGCCGGGTGCTGCATAATCCTCAAAGGAAAGTGACCCGGTTGTGAGCCGGACCCATGCACAAGTAATATCCAGTGGTGATAAGCCTGCTCACTATAAGCCAATCATAAATCTGTATAGCGTAGCTGCTAAACCTTTCGTGAAAGTATTGGATGAAGATAATGATCCCGTCAGTTTTTCTTTGACACATTTGGTGGTTGCAATCGTGCCACTACCAATGTAATTTCAAGAGAGCAACGGAACACTGGAAATGAGGGGGTCATGCTAGACTGGTAGCTTCAGCCCACAGGCTCAAGATACTTCTTCACTACCGGGCTACCCGGTCAATGGGGGATGCCCATCCTTTTGCTGCTTTTTTGTGTGTGTGCCCCTGGTAGTCACAGGGATTCTTTTGAATTGTACACTGAGCTTCTTTCACCTGCTTTTCATTCAGAGCAAGACACTTCAAGATTGCTGTGATAGGCAATCTGGACGCAGATTGCACGTACCTGCGAGACGATGATGAACACATTGACTCTAGTGCATGGTCCGCCCTGGCTCAGGCTGTTTGCAGGTATTCTCAGGTTGCGGTAAAGTGCTAACGCATTGGCAGTCACGCACGAACGTCGTCAACCTGTCGCGTGATCGTTGGAGCTTTTGGTTTTGATGGCCTTTGAACATTGATGGACCTCCACTTCCTTTTCAGGTTTCTACCTGTGCTCTTAGGAAATGGAACCCTAGGCCGGCGTGTGGCACCGCTTTCAGTTCCGTACACCCTATCCTAAGTGTGTCTGGCCTCGTGCCAGCCCGGGATGAGCCCGAAGAGTGCCTCCCGTGGACCCGTCGAACGTGTGTTTGTCGTTGTTCCCCCTGCCCGCGAACGGAGGTGTCCGCAGCGGACAAAGTAGGCTCAGGCCAAAGTTATTTGCCAGGATTTGCTGAATGAATTCCAAGCTGGCTCAACGCCTCAACGTGGTCACAGCGACCGAAGTACTTTTGAGGTTCGTTGGAACCTGTCGGAGCCTTCTACAAGGATGAGTTCCCACCACCTCTAACTTTCCCGCTGGCCTGGCGCCGATGGACGCCCCAATCTGCTTGTGGCCTGGTGCCGACGGAGGGCCTCCCTGTAGTGGCGCAGGCAGTACTACATCGGGAACCTCTTCATGTACACGCTTCTTTGGCTCTGGTTCAGACGATTCTTCGTCAACCTTTGGCGGTTCGCTCTCAGCCACTGCACGATCGGGTCACCTGCCCTCATCTTCAAGCGCAACTACAAGGCTTGGACTCTTCTCTTCTTTTAGCTCTTCGAGTTACCCACACCGCCCTCCGAGCTGCTCACTGCGTTTGGATTGCTACACATCCTACATCACAGTCCTGAACAGCTCGAAGATGAACTACGAGGACGCACTTCGTTTGCGGATCGCCCTGCTTTCTCGTCTACATCGATTGCTACTACACACCATGGCTCTGAACCAACCCCCCCCGGTCTTTTGTCCATTCCCTCCCTACGTCCGCCTTCCTCATTGCGGACACTGACATTCATCCTGATGCCACCCCCATAGCATCGACGACTACATCCACCGGCGGCATTGTGGTTCTTGGAGGACCGATTGGACGCCCATCCCCTTTCGCCACCTCCCACCACTATACTCCCTCGATTACACGATCCGGCGGCACCACGGGTGGCAACTCACGTCATGGTCCTGCGCCCAGAGACACTTCGACCCGCTCCCGTTCCCGCTCTCGCTCTCGCCTGAACCCGCGCTAGAACGTTTGTTTCACTACATTCTTCCACTCGGGATTGACTTGAAAAGAATTTTCGATGATCTTGCTCTCAGTCTCACATGTCGGACTCATTTGATTGTTTCACCTTCGCATTTACCACTCCACTCCACAAATTTACGTGGCTCCAGCTTGACCCACCCAATGACTTCCATGAATTTCCATGCCAACACCACTTTCATTCTATGATTTATTTTCTTCTTCACGGTTCTCGTCTCTGTTTCTTACTTTTCTTCGATAGTTTTTGGATCCTTGCCATGATGGACAGCTCCGCATCCTCACATGAATCTCAACATCGTCATCGCCGATGCCGTGAACGTCAATATTCTCGATCGCGTGATCGCAACCAGACTGACCTTCCGGACTACAGTGCGGATGAAGCGAATGAAGGACCATTGCCGGCACCAGCAGCACCCCCGCCAGCTCCAGCCACCGAGATTGACTCTGGCACACCGTTGACAGATCCCCCTCCAGTGTCGACCGACCCTGCACCTGCCTCCGTCACCGTCACTTCGCCGACACCGAACACATCTGGACCTCGCCAGATTTCAATGCCTCGACCAGCATTGGCTTTGCGACCTCTTCATTCTCAGTTTCGGTTTCTCACTTTGTCGGACGATGTAGCACCTGGAACATCTTCACGAGAAAAGACACTACACTGCGCTTCCCACCACAGTTCTTGTCACATGTGGTTTGTCCCTTTTGCTTTACTGTTACAGATCTTTCCACCATTTTACCCAGCCCTTTGGCTCAAACATTTATGTTCGATACCATGCCTCTCCCTACACCGTTAGATCTCATGTCCACCATTGCGACCCACATGCGGGTCCTGATCGCGGCCCTACGATTGCTGACCACCCTTCTCCAACAAGACAGAGATGTTGAGATTGCCGACCCTTTCTCCGAGTTGCCACAACCTATGTGCTCTCCAAGGACTTCTACCAGACCACGTTCGCCGATGAATTTCACGACAATCCGCCCTTCCATTACATGGGCGCCATGCGAACCTGGGTCGGACCGTCCACTGCTTCCAGAACTCTTACCACCTGACGTCGGTAGATGTTTACCTTCCAAGCACATCCTTCCGAGCTGCCCAGTGCGCGCCGGCCATGCCCACCATTCCACGGAGAAATATACACCGGATTCCACTCATGGAAGTGGAACATGACCCCTGGGGCCCTGGGGGAAGACTACTCCCCCACAAACTAACATGGAACCTGAGAACTGCGTGGAAGACGATTTTAATCCAATAGTTTGGGGGTTCCATATTGGACCTCTGCAGGGGAGTACTTTCCGATCCACGCGAAGCACGAAGAAGCGCACCACACCGTCGTCCGCCCAGCCCCACTCATCATCCGTCGGTCCAGGCGAAGCGTCTTCAACAGCAGTCCTTAGAGGTGATCCGCGGTGATGGCAAGGCGGTGATCCGCCGAACCGAGCGATCGGGCATCGCTGCTCCGGTCGGGCGAATCCACCGGTGGAGCGGCAGTCACAGGTTGAACGGGGTGCCGAACGAACGGAGGAAGTCGGGGATGATAGGGGTGCCCATCAACTCCACTCACTGGATGGGACTTAACGCCACCTCGTCGAACGTGACTTTTGGGGGAAGGTTCCCGTTTTAGGCGTGATTTTTTGTTGGGCGAAGGTTCAGGTGATCCAAGCGAAGGTGGGAAGAAATGAATGGAAGAAAGATGTTGTAAGCGTCATTTTGGGATCAAGTCGTGAACCGCAGGACTTGGAGTCCGTGATGGCCGTGATCAGTTCCTGGGCCGAACTGCTGCTGCAGAGCGACCGGCTGGACGGACCGGGCCGCGTGCGGTCGCGAGGCTGGCTTGGTAGCACGGGGCCGGGCCGGCGCCTGTTGGGAGGCCTACACGGAGGGTTCCACCTGTTCGGCGCGAGCAGTCCGGCCATCATGGGATCCAAACGGCCCGCCGGTTCGGCCGCCGGGAACCGGCCGCCGGTTCGGCCTGAGCCTGGCTGTAACAGCAGTCACCGGTGGTTTTTGCTTCAAAACAAACGATGACTAGCACAGATGACGGTATAGCCATAGCCTTGCCTTTGTCAGCCCCGTCAATTAGCGTTTTGTTTGACATCAGTGGCTATAATCCCGGTGTTGCCCAACTTCGGTGACATTCGCCCCCCCCTACCGAATGCATTGCCAACGCCTAACCCCTGAAACAAACAGAGACCCCAGACGGCCGTGGAAGTCTCAAATGATGGAGTAGCCAGGGTCCATTTGAGAGATCATGGATGACAATGGTCATAAAATAGAGGAATCAGTCTCCACGCATGGCAGATTTATATACTTACCTTCACCCCTCTTCCACCGCCCCAATTGTATGTAAATATGCCACTCCCATGGAGTTTTTGTCAGTTCCATGCGCCGAGCTCGCCAAGGCGTGGCCTTACGGCGCTCGGATTGGGATTGAGAGTGGGACCAAATTTGGCTGGAGGTCCTACAAGAAGGCGATGGAACCTGCGACGCTATGCGTTTTGAGGTGCCGGAGGAGTTTCTCTAATATGTGTTCCTTTCTATAGTTACCCGAGGAGCCTCATTGACCCCTGTTTTGGAGACAAAACGTGGTCTTTTCCTATCAAAACAGAGGTCAAATGGGGTCTAGGTAGTTGTTTGGCTGCCACTTTTTAGGGAGGAATATGTACGGTGGGAACCGAACGAACGGCGGTTCGGTTGGTTCGGTCACGCCGAGGAGTCATTACTGCGCATAGGACGGAGACGGAGCCAGCACGAAGTCGTCCAAAAACCGGGGAGCTCCGAAACTCGAAGGTGGCGGATGGGATGGGTGCGCTCCAAAGACAAGGTTTTGTGAAACCCAAAGTGAAACAACCAGGGGTCACAAAGGGGTGGTTTTTAGTCCCTAAGTGAGTGGACTCCTGGAAAGCTAGTCTACTGTAACTCACGTCATGACTTCAGGTAGTCGCCTCCATCATCCGCACTCAAGAAACACCTAGAAAAAACAAACAATAATACACATGCTCCGGTTGATTTGGACCAGCGCTGAAGAACGGCGAGGACCTGATCCAATCGTCGCGACAAGATGCCAAGACCTTGGCCAAGCTGTGTAGGCCGGGATGATGCGCGACGTCGACAAAACGAACCAGCGCTCATGTTGAAATGCTGTTTGGTTTGGATTTCTTTCAAGTAAGTACTGTATGGTGCGTGTTTGATTTTGGTGTTGGATTTGGTTCGAGCTGTTTGAGCGGGCTTTGTAGCAGACTGGGACTGTCAAACCACACTCACCATGGAGCCGTTTTCTTTTAAATTCAGATACAAATTCTCAGCCACCTTGTTGCTTCTCTCCACAAACACCTTACCCTCGCTCCCTCGTCTCTTTCCGCCAGTGCGGCCTATGACGAGGGCGCAGCCTGCAAGCAGTTCTTGGCTGATGCAGAGGAAGCCGTCCTGGCCTTGGCCAAAGAGTGGCCTGGAGCGAAGCGTTGCGCGCCGTTGCGCGATGGATCGGCGGAGCGTAACGAGCGGAGTCAGCGCGGAGCCGGCCCGATAGGCGGAGTCGTCGGGGACGGGGCGATGAATAGACTCGACATTCCTTGGGGTGGTTGCGTGATGTTTTGGTGCTACTGACAGTTGGTGATTTCTACACTCAGACGCACTAACATGGAGGTAAACAATTGCCTTTGGGACGATGTGCCTCCAAACAATTGATGTTCCTCTACAAATGGGGTGCTGTCCAACTTCCATGATATTGAGTCGGAGTGTATTTGACATGGTGTTCCTTTATGTATGTTTCAAGTAAACAACTCCAAAGAACATGTTCGGTGACACCGTCGAGGGCTTTTGAAGTAGTTACAAGAGCTCCAGAACAGCAGAACACCCGGAGGCAATCATGGGGAGAGGGGGCGAAGAAGCCCAGTGCCACCCAAAGCAACCTGACAAGCAGATAGTGCCTCTACGGCTGCACGCGTGCACCGCTGTCTCTTGCAAGTTGGAAGAGCAGTGGGACAAATCCAAAGCCCAAAGCTGCAGTGAATCTTTCGCTGAGCTGGTCCAGGACGGGAAAGTTGTGTGCTTCTCATCCGGCCTTCGGGTTCTCAGATGTGAGATGCAAGGTTGAAGATGCCTAACTCTTCTGGCCCAACAATAAACAATCGTAGGGGACAATGAATATTACCCGTTAGTCATAATTACCACAGTATGCAGTTTGCAACGGTATTTAGAACACATGATCTCTTCTGTTCAGTCAGTTGGATATTTTTCCCAAGTTCTTTCTTTGGTTTACATGCAAAAGAACATTGGAAAAAACACCATCTTTCTCTGGTGTTTTTTTGAACTTCCATGTTGCAGTTGGCCTTGAGGCCTCCCCTGCCGCGCCTGGAAGCAGCGGGTGTCTTGGCCCTCTAGAGATCTTGAGACATCATTTAAAAACAGCCCAGCCCTGCATCCTTACTTAAGTAGAGACTGCCTAATTGATTAAGTAGGATGGCTTGTAGCAGGATAGCTCACGCTTCTTCAAGGAAGCTCCTCCCTCCGCCTGAGGGCAGGGGAGAACTTGCTTGAAGAAGCGCTCGCACTAATGGTTTGGTTCCTAGATTTTTGGGAAGATTCAGTTCTGTGGCGCAAGTCATGTGCTTGCAGTGGTAGTTATGCTGTTGCGCAGGACTTCTCAACAGCCAGTAGGATACGTTTAAAGATGACTTGCCCGCTGCAGCTTCTCCAGAATTCATATGATTCAAGCCGTTAAATCCATGCCCAACCTCATCCTTTCTGTCTTTCTACATTTTCCAGATACCTTATTGTCTCCTCTCTTTCCTCTTGCGCGTGCCGAAGACTCGTTTGTGGCCGCAGCGCCTAATTATCCAACATTGACCTGACTCAACCCCCCAATCTTTCCCACTTATTGTGCGAGCTAGGCTGAACAAGTCAAATCACACCACGCGCAAGAAACTAGCTACAAAGACAGGGCCCAATGCTTGAACTTGACATGGTTACAGATTCCTTGTAAGAAAGCAGAAACGCTATTGTACGGTGACCGAATAAGCAGCATTGGCAATTGAATCTGGAGCCTCTCACTAGCCGAGGTTCACACGGACACACACACACACACACATGTACATACACCTCCCTGCCCCCCACTTTCCTTCTTGCACTTTTGGTCGTTTCCTTGGCTTTCTCTCAGGCTTTTTAGGTTGTTCTTGAGGCTCGTTTCCCTACCCCAGTCAAGGGCTAAGTATTCACTTTTTCTACTCCTACCTTTCTCTCTTGCCCTCTTAGCGCTGCTCTTTCTGTTTTTCTTTCTTTTGTTTCTAAGGCTTTTAAGGTACCCATTTAGGTCCTCCGCGAGAGCGCCGCAAAGCGGCATCGTGCGTGTGTCAACCTCTGTAACTAAGAGTTTTGATTCCTTTCTTACCTATGAATGCAGGGGCACTGAGCACTCCTTGGTAAACTTAGTGCAACGAAGCTATGCCTTGGAGTGGGAAGCACGGATTGATCACCCGTGTGTACCTGCAATTTTTGAACTTTTGCCCAAGCCGTGACTCTACTCCTTCCTGTTTTGTTTCATGGTTCTTGAATGATAGACCCCTAAACCTTTCCTTCTGCCACTTTCAGACACTTTGCGGCCACTTTGACTGTACAGACGGAACTTGCATCGTTGTGCAAACAATGTTAAACCATATTGTTCTCGCCGACTTTTTCGCCTTGCGTTTCTCTCACCTTCTTCCACCTGGGAATAGATTAACTGCAAACCCATTCACTGTTGCATTCAGACTCATGATTTCACAGCTTCAGCACTTAGGATCAAAGCGCGCACTCAGTTCTCAGAGCAGTCCAGGGGAGTTTGTACAACAACCTATGGCAGCTTGGAGATGCATCGGCTGGGTTGGCTTCGAAGGGAGTCCTGAAAGGAGTTCTGACTGCCTGTCCGACAGGCTTGCACTCCTGCTCGCATTGAAAAGATGACGACAGATGACCCTCGTGATCATGATGATATCCAAAGCTGGGTGTTGAGGCACACCGTGCAAGGAGCTCCTCGCCAAGCTGCCGCATGGCTGCGGATTGGGGGGGTCATCGTCGGTCATTGCTCCTTCTCGTGCTGCGCACGAACGTCTAATTAAGTATCTTCCAGCTAACAAGGGCATCGCTACTAGTAGCAAGGACGCTACTAGTAGCTCCTGGCCTTACTACTAATAGCAAGAAGCGTTAGAAGGAGTTCCTTCCAGTTTGTCTTGACGTTGGGTCCTCTGTTGGGCCGTTCCGAGGCCCCCTGCCGGCATGGTCGGCAGAGGCCGGAAGCGGTCAGGGTCGGATTTGAACGTGAACTACGTGAACATGTCACCAATTGAGGCCTCTTAGGCCCTAACAATCCTGTAATGGAGACCTGTTGGAGGGTGCTGGTATGTGAGTGTGTAAAACAGGGATTCCTCCCAGGTGCTCGGGCCCCCAAGAAATTTCGGAAACTAGACCCAGGGCCAGGCTGTCTTCCTCACGATCGGATCCCTCGAGGGCAAGCGCCTTCCACTTCACTGGCCAAACGATGATCAGGCGTCAACGCTGTAGAGTTCTTTCTCTTCATAAAGAAACACATTGTTACGATCCCCCCCGAAGAAGATTGACAACAGTTTTACATCTCCATACCCCTGGCCGCTCCATGCGACTGGCATGCGGGTTCACCCCGGTCAGGGGCGCGGCCGTGGCGGCTTGGAACGCATTGCAGGGCTCCCCTTGTTGTGAAAAACAGTTGCGGTAAAGTTGGTGCAGCAACCTGCATCGCACCTCTATTGACCCCAATGCAGAGAATTTCCTTGAAGATCCACTGTGCCCGGGCTGCTGCCCCAACCAAATAGACCTAGCCGTTGGGCCGTTAGATGTTTCATTTGTGAAGCACAAGCAACAACATCACCAAGATCTGCAGTCAGACGAGGTTGGACGGTTGGGTTTTCCAATGTTGCATGGCACTGCTATCAATCCTAGCCCATTTTAGTCCTTTTTGGATTGATGCTGTGCATCCAAATTCGGGATTGGGCCACCCATCAAACCCCAAAGATCACACTGAAGATGGAACCATTCAGGTCTGCCGCATGCGTTGTCCGAAATGGTACGATGGCCACTGTTTCTCCACATTTGCCGAAGCCCTTACAGAAAGACGTCTCTGCTTTCGGCCTCCGCACCGTTTTTCTGGAACCGCCGGGTGAGTCATTTGGGTCTCACTAAGACATCAATGATGTCTGACGGTGTCCAGCGGTTTGATAACAATCTCCTTTGGTGTTGACAGAGAACCGTTCGCTAACCTGGCCAAGTATCTTTTGAGCAATTCTTCTCGAGCTGAATTGGATTCTTTCGCCGCTGTGCTGTCCTAGGGGGTCATGCTAGGACAATGCAGTCGGTTTCCACCTTTTTGCGTCCTCCCATCTCCTCACCCCAAAGTGCCTGAAGGGACCGAGACCATCCGACTTTGGACCCCCCTCCCAAGCGGACGTCTCAACATCTTCGTTCGAACCCAAACCACCAGACAGTCGATGTGTGTGAACGCCCCCTTCGAGAGCGACAAGCTTTCGACCACTCCGAAGCGCTTTCTCAACGGTTTTGGAACACATTGCAGGGCTCCCCTTGTTGTGAAAAGCAGTTGCGGTTGTGGTAAAGTTGGTGCAGCAACCTGCATCGCACAATGCAGAGACTTTCCTTGAAGATCCTTGCTAGCGTTGCGGGGCTTCACTTTGTCTTGGGTGCTGCCCCAAATAGACTTGGCCGTTAGATGTTTCATTTGTGAAGCGCAAGCACCAACATCACCAAGATCAGGAGCTACTTCTTGTTACTAGTAGTAAGGTGCCTTGTTATACTGCACCTCCCAGGCGTTCCAACCCCGTAGAAGAAGGAAAATCGATCTACCCAATTAAAGGGACGCTGTAACTTCACCGATCCTGCGTTGGTTAACCACTTTCCTTCTACATTCCATGTTTTCTCCCCGAAAAGGGCCAGATTCCCCAGATATAAATATACCAGGCTTCATACGTATCATGGCCAATGAAATCACGAAACCAATATGTTCGGATGAAACTCGACCATGATCCTGTGTCCCTTTGGTTTTGTCAACAGTCAGCTCTCCTCCGCTAGCCGCAGGACTTCGAAGGAGACTGGTATGACGAGGGAGGAGTTTGGGTGGGCGCCTTGACTTCTTAGGGGGCCACGCTTTGACTGCTTGATCGACGAACAGTGAGACGGTACTTTTGTTTTGGGCTACTTTTGTCAGGAATGGCATTCTTTTGGCGGGGCCTGTGCTTTTCTGAGACCCAGTGAATATTCTTGACACAGGACATGTAGGACCTATGTTCAACGCCCATGGAGGGAGCTGTGAGCACCCACGGAACGTACGGCATGCTCAGAAACAATGAGAAGGCTAGCATGATCAGTCAACTCCGGCCCACTTGTCCAGAGCAAAAGGTCCAAAGCCTGCTTGCGATCGTTTTTCCTTCGGCCAGTAACTCTGCTCTTTTATATACTCTTTTTGTGTTGGCTTTGCTGTGGAACCGTCCGCAAAGTACGTAAAAAGAGTCCAATCTGGACGCGCCCACCGGCCAAGGCCATTTGCTTAATGAAAGCCCTTTTGTGTGCCCCAAGTCACGAAAGCTAGCGCCAGCTAGCTGGATTTGTTCTTGCTTTAGCAAGTGGCAAGAGCGCCGCATCTCGCGAAAACTCGGGTTCAACTCCTTTTTGGGACGTCTCTGGGGTGCCCTGCTAGCTTTCGTCACCAACCCTCGGCCTCAAGTGTTTATCCGATACGTCCGTCCCGTCGGACCAGTGCATGTTTAGGCTTGGAGGCTTGCGTGGGGAGGTTGAGGCAGTTCGATGTCCCCGCCGGAAGCGCAACCCCAATACTCACAAACCGACACAAAAAGGACAACACGACCGCAAAAAAATGGAGGCCCAACGAGAGTCAAGGTATAGATGGTCCAGGTGAGCAACCTTTTGCCCTGTGCATCTCTTATCCAAGGAGAAATCACCCCCAGTGAGATCCTCTTCGCGGACGGCGAGTCCCGGCCGTGGAGGCACCGGGCACCGTCAAAAACACTGATGTGAAGTTGTCCTGACATCCCCACCGCCAAACAAAACTCAGTTCGCGAAAGCTTGGTATCCAATGATTCAACATAGCAATTGAGCTGGTCGAAAACCTGGTGGAATTGGGTTTGATATTGTAGCAACCTTTTTAAATAGGCGGCTATCCTGGCCCTTTCGTGGCCACAGGCTTGCCCTTGACAGGCACACGAATCTTATTTGTCTAACCCTTCCATGCGACCGTCCGCAACAAAGGACTTTCAAATCAACAGAAAAAGAGCAACGCTACTTGGCCTATCCGTATTCAAACTCTGAATTCAACGGCGGCGCTGTATATTAACTCTAAAGGTACTTTCATTCATGCTCTAGTATTCAACACCTGGCCTACCCATGATCCCAAAATGGTCTTCTGCAAATATGCCCTTTGCAGCCATGCTTTTGTTCCGTCTTTCACCGATGACTGGCAGGCTGAAGGATCGCCAGCTCCACTGCGGGCGCCTGAAGGCACGAGAAAAAGACTTAAAATTCTAAATTGTGTCCTTTCTTGACCGACTCAGTCATGCTTTACGCCCACCCATACCAACCCCCCTCTCTGGTATGTCACGCCCCAATGTTACATGTCCAAACCAAATTCTCTTCCCACGGTTTGGAGTGGACCGATGGCGACATTTGGTACTGAGCCTTGGCAGAGGAAGATGGGCCTCGTTTTGGTTTTAAGGTGAAGTTGAAGCGCTCTTAGTTGCAACATGCAACGCTGTTGGGCCACAAGCTCCCCTGCAATGCCAAACCTTTCACTCTATTTTGGGATTCCCGACTACATCCATGAAAGAGAGCGCCGCATCGCGCGAAACTTCACATGTATGGGGGCCCCACCCCTCCCACCTGCGCAGGGACGTCTCTGGGATGTGTGTATTTCCATGCTTACCCCGCCCTGCTAGCTTTCGTCACCATCCCTCCGCCTCAAGTACCCACCCGACACGTCGGATGGAGAGATCATTCGTGCGCGCAGGTGCATCCTGGTCTCCTGCAGGCTCGCACTCCGCGCGCTTGCGCGCCACGGCGCGCACCGCCCACGAGCTAACTACTGGCAGGGGCTAAGAGGCCGAAAGTGGAGGGCCACGCGGAGGCCTTCATTCTTACCATGGGGCCTGGTAATGATGGTCAGGTTTGTGTCAACAGCAACTACACCATATTACAACACCCAATATACTATCAATACTTTAATGGGAGTGGTTGGGACACTTCAAGAAAGTGATTACTGTAAATCATATTCAGTCAACAAACCCTTCATGCAAAGAGCTCAAGGCCACCCTTTACACCAAAGACCCTTTCAGTTTGTGCTCTTGGGATGATGAATGAAGTGTCCACTGCACATTGATTGAACCTCAGGATCGCAAGACTTGATCACAAAGTGGTTTTGAAAGAATAGGTTTTGGCCCTCCACAGTGCTTGTGTGTGTGTCAGGTTGTTCCGCGGCCATATGTCAGACCTTTAGAGCGAGGGTGTCATTCACCGTCAAAATTCTCTTCTTTGGCGGGGACTGTAAATGAATACAGCATTTTGTATTGGTAGAGGCAATCATGATCGTCTGAAGCTCTCGGCGATTGTAGATGCGGAGGTTTTGTGTCCAATTGCGTTCAACTGCTAGCCTGCTAGCTACTTTTCGAACCTTTTTTGACTATGGCTTCATTGCAGCAACCATGTGTCTGTCGGACACCCATCCCATGAAGTAATTCAGCAACCCATTCACATCATAGGCAACGGGATATACCAATTACGTGTGTCTTGGTGTCATATCTACTTTGCACCTAGCGTATGTTCATTGCAAAGAACGGCGAAAGAAACTCTTCGGAAGTGGAACGCACGTTTGGGGGTCGTGTCAATCAGACCTGTTGGTCGAAAGACCTTTAGTTACCCTCCCTCACACAACCATGGAGCTGCTCACGGGGTTCTGGCAGGGCACGCGAAGTCTTGAAGTGTTGCGAATGAATTGTGAAAGACATCTGTTTGCTCCAAGGCATATAGAAGCGTACAATGGGCGTTGGCAATCTGGCCTCTTTACATGGCAGCCCCTGAAGCCAACTTTTACGGCGCAGACTTTGGTGTTTCCTGCGCAGGAACCCGCACGGCCATGGAAATATCTATATGGGTTCATGATAGGGATATGGCGCCGACTTCGCTTCGTTAACACCATCGCGCCGTGGGCTTGCCAGGAGTTCTGGCAGTGGCGCGGCCAGCCGTTGCGGGTGTCGTGAAACGCGGCAAGTGCAGCAGCAGAGCGCCGGCTTGGCTAAAAGGGTTTGAGAACGCAGGGTGCGCGTACATATTCCAATTAAGTTGCTTCTTAAATGTCGTGTACCCACCTGAAGAATTAGCCAACACATGGGCATGACTGTGATGGCCAGGTCGGTCCGAAGCCAAGCTACGTATGCCGTTGGCCGTCAAGGACACACGACACACACACACACATTGAAGCGCTGCAAAGAGAATCTGTATTTCTTGACATTGGCTTAAAGCTTACCACCAAGAAATATTGAAAACCAAGGGCAAGCAACAATTTGAGCTGGTAGGGCAAGCTACCATGAGCAAGTGGACTTCTCAGCCATCTTTGGAAGAGAAGATAGCTATTTCCAGCTCAGTATACTAGATTGAAATTTGAAGAGGAAACGCGCTGCAAAACTTCAGGTTGAATTTACAGTAGCCCACTTTCAGGCGGACTGATCTGACATGAGCACTAAGTTGTAGATCCAAGCGCAAGGAATTTCAAGCGGGTTTGCGTTGGCCACTAGGACACGGATGAGAATGAAGATTCTTATGGCTGCAGGGTGTATCCGTATGCCCCATCCAAGAGCCAGGAGAGTTGGCAGGCTTGTTTAATTTTGCAAAGCCAGCATGGAGGTGCGCGACGCAAACTGTTCTAAGAAAACTTCATGTCAAGACAACCATACCCACCAAGCCTGTTACCTGTTGACGATCCGTCAAGAAAAGTTCATGGCCCACTGCCTCAAAACCGCTCCAGTCTCGGGCCCGGGCGCTTCACCATGGCACACCAGCGGTGGGCGTGGGCGGTTGTGTTTTGCGCTGCCCTTTAGCGCCTTCTGGCTGGGCACATTCTGGCTGGGCACAAGGCAGGGCGACCGCCAAGCAAAGTTGAAGCAAGTGGTTTGAAGGTTCATTTTGGGAGGAAAAGGAGTGGAGCATTTTACAGCCTCCAGTTATTGTGGTACAATGTTTCCAAAAGGTCTCGCATACAATGGATGCCACTTCGCGATCTGCGTTGGCCCCGTGGTCTTAAAATGGAGTCCGGCAATCCCGCAGCCAGGTGGTCTTAATCTGGAGTCCGCAGCTCGGTGCTTGCGGGCCTTCATGGGCGGCCAAAAGCACTGATGCGCTGGAGGTGGAGGAGGCCGTTGTTGGAGGTTTAGTCTGGGAGTGGAAACCTACCTGTTTATAGTTACTTGTTGAAACCAGAAGCAGGACGCCGAGTCAAAGACAAAGCTGCCAATACATTAGCTCCTTAGCTACTGGTTTTTGAATTGCTTGGGTACACTTTAAGAATGTTGCGCCTAGAAACTACAACAGCAAGAGCTTCGTGACCCGACCTACGGATCATGCGCATGGGGCCAGTACTTTGCCCTAGAAGATTTCTAGCGTACCAAGCAGTGAACTGGGTCGGGCCCCTTGCATCAAAGAACCTGTCACTTGACCTGACTGAACAAAGGCCTTCTGTCAGGAACAGGAACAATGACGTTTCCATTGAAATGTATACAATCACCTGGACAGCCGTAGCACTTCTACCTCTGACGATGACCATCACTTTGGGATGCGGCCATAGTCCGGAACATCTTGGCCAGGTTCAGAATCACGCAGAGTCGAAGACCTAGGTGCAGGTGCCGCGCGATCAGAATCCTGAGAGCGAGAAGCTCGGCGCCGGTCACGGCGTGTCCGACCGGCGGAGTCAGAAGAAGAATCACACTTTTCTTCTTCTTCTGCTTCTTCTTCTTCTTCTCTTTCTTTTTCTTCTTCATCATCTTCTTCGTTTTCTTCTTCTTCTTGTTTTTCTTCTTCTTTTCTTTTTCATCTTCTTCTATGTATTATTTTTATTTTTTCTTCTTATTATTCTGTTCTTCTAATTATTTTTCATATTTTTCTATTTATTTTTCTTCTTATTATTGTTATTCCTTCTTCTTATTATTTTTTTTATTCTTCTGTGTTTTCTTCATTTTTTTCTTCATCTTTTTGTTTTTCTTATTGTTATTTTTTATGTTTTTCTTCTTCTGGTTTTTCTTGTTTTTATTTTTGTTTGTTTTTCTTTTTTTCTTCTTTCTTTTCTTTTTCTTATTGTTCTTCTGTTTCTTCTTCTTCTCCTTCTTCTTATTCTTTGGCCAACCGGTTCTGGCCTGCTTTTGCTTTGCAGCGGTTCAATTGCTTCTGGCAAGTCTCACAGGTGACCGCGACCGCCAGCAGCTGCTGCAGCGATTGGCCAGCCTCGGTGTGCACGAAGACGGCTGAGCCGAGCTTCGTTGGAGCACGGGGATTGGTGGTGGCAGCGGTGATGGGCATGCGTCATGTGCACATCCTGGGCTCCGGTAATAGGGGATGGTAAAGGACCCCCCAAATAGATAGAAAACAACAATAAGTCTCACTAAAACTGTTTTCGAAACGGTGGCACTACCTACTTGAGGACCGCTACAGTAAGTAAAGTTTGAAGATGGTTTAAGTTTTGTTTTGGCCTTCTGAAGAGGTTCGAGAGGTTCTTGTTGCCTTCGCAAGAGGTCAAGTCCGGGATTCGGCAATGGTGATGTCCGAGGCAGGTGCTGCAGGTTTGGTTTGCGGGGTTTGGGGCCAAATATTTGAGGTTGAAGACTTGGGACTCTACTTCTCCACTCACATGTTGTATCCATGCTGGTGGGTGTTTCCGATCAAGTTGATTTGGAGCATCAGAATGAAAGGTGAAGATGTTCGTTTTGCAAAGCCTGGGATCATTCCATTCCTGAAGATTCCAAATCCACTTTCCGGCACATATTACCCCCAAGTTCCGCAACAAAACATTCCTTGTTTTGCTGCAATAGGCAATAGACCCTGCTGGAAATCACAAGGCCATTTGCTGGGATCCTGGATGCATGTCAGGCACCGATCCTGGCTCTTCGGCTCTTCGTGCAACACGAGTCCACTTGTTCTTGATCAGCTTTTCTTCACCCCCCAGAACTGATTCTTGTTTCGGGGTCGAAAACACCATTGGCTTGAGTGGTGTTGCCACCCTGAGAGAACTGTCGGGCCGGGGGGGAACCCCGGCACGCTTTCGGATCCCGAGGGCGACGCCCTGCAAGACTTCCGCGGACTA